CAAAGAAAGAAGAGTTTAAAAATTTCTCTGGATATAAATTTTACAGACAATTGAGACTGATTTGGTGGAGAGCAGAGGGAGCAAGGCATCAGTAGAGAAGAAATGTGCTTCAAAATAATATTATTTGAAGGGCTGGCCCATGGCTCACTCCGGAGAGTGTGGTGCTGAGAACACCAAGGCCACAGGTTCAAATCCCTATACAGGGATGGCCGGTTAGCTCACTTGGAGAGCATGGTGCTGATAACACCAAGTCAAGGGTTAAGATCCCCTTACCGGCCTTCTTTAAAAAATAATAATAATAATGTTATTTGAGCCCCTGGATACAGCTTGAAGCCCCTCCAGTTTTCAGCTACAAATTCCTTTTAAAAAGAAGTTCTAATTCTCTATATAATTTATATCCCCCAAGGATTACTGTTTTGTTTGACCATAGCAATTTACACTATTCTATCACAATTTCTCACCACAAACTTAACCTTAGTAAAATCAGATATAAAAGCGTTGTCAGAATAAGGTGCAAGGGGCACTCCTGGGATGCTACGAGTGTTCTATTTATTGGATACACAGGCATGTTCATTTTGTGAAAATTCATCTGTATATTCATGAGTCAGTATGTATGTTACACTTAAATTTTAAAATTTATTTTTAAAAAAGATTAAATTTAGCTAGGATCTAGATCACCTATCTTTTTAACAAAGGTTGTATGCACTAAATATCTTAAAGTTCATACCTACTTCAGAACTTTCATCCAACATGATGATGTTAGTTGTTCCAACTACTTTTTCCTNATAAACCTCTCTTCTTTATAAATTACCCAGTTTCAGGTATTCTGTTATAGCAACACGAAACGGACTAAAACACTAAAGATGCAGATACAAACTGAAAATAAGGTTGGTTATTTAGGATAAAGTCAAGTATTTATATTTAACACAAATACCAGAAAATAATACAATAAAAACCGATGCTTAAGAATATACTAGAGTTAGGATGCAGGTTGTTCCTCCTCTATATCCCAATAACACTTTATGTATTCTTCTACAGAACTTATTATTATACAATAGAAATTATTTATACCTTTGCCATCCACACTTACCTATTCTTAATCATCTCTCTATTCCCACTACCAGACACAGTTCCTGGCACATAACAGGCCCTCATTACATGCTTATTGAAAGAAGGGAGGTAGGGAATCAATCTCACACGCTCTGTCCCAGTTCCTTACTCCAGAAAGAGCAAGCAGCCCTCACCACATGAGGTCACCGTTTAGTAGACTCTGGTTAGATTTTCTCATATTCCTTCTAAGTCCTTTTCTTACTTTTAATTATTACTAACTAATAAAATATCTTCATATATGTATGTGTGTATATATATATTTCTTCAATATGCTACTACATTAAATACAAACAAAAATTCTCTTTATAATATTAAAAAACAAAAATAGTCAAGCAAAAATATCATCCATACAGTGTAATATCGCACCAGTTTTTCAGAAAAAAAAATAAGAAACAAATGATTAACAATTACTTTAAATCAACTCAGATATAATAATGAACCTTTATAAACTAGATTAAGATAATAAAAGAACTATTTACCAGCAATAACAAAACACATTAAAATATTAACCTTTACTACAAAAAAGTAGAGATTTGAATATATACTATCAAAGAAAGAAGAGTTTAAAAATTTCTCTGGATATAAATTTTACAGACAATTGAGACTGAT